TAACAGATTTTATATTAACTTAAAGACGGTTCCGGTCAGTAAAATCTTTTAACGTAGTGGAACAAATTTTTCAACCAGTTCTACTTTGTTTGTGTCTCATGCGAGTTGTCCATCCAACTTTGATTAGGATGATAACATCGAAAAAGTTAAAGAAACAGTGTTTAAAAATTGTCAGAAACAAAAAGCTAGCAGAGGATCTCAATATACCTTATGGGTCGACTCAACACATTTTGGTTAACGTTTTGGGTATGAAGAGTTTCGGTGATAGACTCGACACGAAACGAGAGCCATCTGGGTCAGTCATTAGATCTGTTTTCCAGACCGAAAAATCAAGTACAGGGAATGCGTCATAATTCCATTGAACCAATATAAATATAAAAATCGCCAGACAAACTGTTCGCATCGCAAATAAACAGCTGCCAAACCAAAACAGTGCGGCTCAAATTTAATCTTTAGTGTATATCTTTTTTGAAGTTTCCCTTACGACCCCACATATGGAATGTGAAATTCTACAATACTTTTAACTCTTTGCTTTTAAAAACAAATAAAAACAAAATTAGGTGTTCTATGGACCATAATCTGTTCCCGGGTTATCAAACAAACTACAAAGACAAAAACTTTAAATTGGTTTTAAGAGAGAATTATATTAAATTTCGAAACATAATCTTAAAATGAGATACGTCAAAATGTATACTTAAGTTTTTCAATACAGGGTCTATCAACAAGAACGACATGATGTTAATATGAAATAATACATTCAAATTCGGTCAAAATGAGTCGCCAAACACTTGCACGCAATGTGTCCACGTTTAGACGTGAAACATGAGGCGTACTTTGCAACAATTTCAACAAATTCAGGGAAAAAAGTCAGTCAACATAGTGTTATAATGCTCGCTATTTATGGTATTGACATTTTCTGCCACATTTCAAAATAATGGGGATTTGACTCGCCCCTCATTAAGCCAGAAAAGGGCCACATCTAAAAAGATGATTTTTTGGATTTCTGGATTTTCTGGTGAGCGGACATTTTTCAAGCGTTGTACCGAAGTGAAAGATGACATGATGAAATGGCAAACCTTACTGAGCACACTGACAAAATTTTATACAAATCGGTAAACAAACATGGCCGCCACGAGCTATGAAGATCACGTCATCATTATTGGTAGACGCTGTACTTTCGAACATATTTTTATTTCAATATTTCTCGTTAAAACCATTCAAGTTTAAAAATAACTTAAAGCTTAAATATTTATCTGGTAACTTTCGTGCTGAATTAGTAATAATGGTATGCACTTACCCCAATCCACTGTCAGAAATCACCTTACCGCTGTTATTACATCGCCCAGCAACCAAGAACTGTTGTTATAATATTTTTTATTTACTCATAAGCCATTTTCGTGGTTTTTCATATGCTGAAAGTATAAAAATAAAATATAAAAATAATAAAAAAGAGAGCCTATAGTTTTAATCTCATAATAAAATGGCCAAAACTAAGAGCGCCGCAATAAAAATGGACCCAATGCGTGTAACACTGGCGGATATTCAAGCTGGCGTAGGTTTGATAAATAATAAAAAATTTATTCATTTCCAGCGTATAAACACAGCTTTATTTGTAAAATAAATATTTTACTACTTAGATTACAGTAAGTAAGCAACTGGATGACTTCAAAGCCTTTCCGACAACGCTACATTGCGGTCGCTCCTTGATGGGTTCGACCAAACATCAGCCGAAACACATTAAAGTAACACTTCGGAAGACCAATGAAATACTGCTATACGAACAGCGCAGCCTGACCGCCTTGGCCGACACCGAGGAAGGCAAGGCAGTCGCAGCGGACAATGAACGGTACGAGTATTTAACCACCGCGCAGGGTAGACGACGATGCACCTTCAACGCTGAGGCGCAAACTGCCGGTGTGCTCTATAAAAGCCGCGATGCGAATACCGAACACATACGCACGGACAATATAGCCTCTTATGTGTCGAACTTTGAGATGTTCGACACGTACAAGGACCTGCAGGCTACAACAAAAAGTGTTGCCATAGATGAGCACAAGAAAATGGAGATCACCACTTACAAAGTCGAGGGCAAAGATACATTTATCGATATTAATCGACAGCCGAGTTTCCGTTTGGCGCTCATGTTGACCATGCGCGCCTTAGCCGGCAATGTTTTTGAACAACAACAACGGCGTTTTCGTAATATGCATCTACCAGATCCGCTGGCAGCAGAGGTGCGCTACCGTTATCGTGTTGAGTTGCTTTGGCGTTTTAAATTGCCACAGTCACTGGCCGGCGATACAAAGAAAGCGGTCGCTGATCTCAGCTGGTGTCCACGCAACGGCGATATACTCGCTGTAGCCTATGGTGTCTACAATTTTCGGGATGACAATGCAAATGCAGATGGCTGTGTGTGTATTTGGTCCATTAAAAATCCCGTCAATCCAGAGAGATATTACAAATATCAATTGCCGGTTATGACTGTAGAGTTCTCACTACATAATCCACAATTATTGGCCATCGGTTTATCGGATGGCACCATCGAAGTTCTGGATATAACGAAACTTGAGTCCGCCGCAATTGCGATAACCGATCGTCGCACCTTGCATAACTGTGAACCGATTGTCGCTATAAAATGGATTTCACGCAGCGAATTGGTAGGCGCCAGATACACTATTGAACCATTTTTAGCGCTGTCACGTGACGGATCAGTAACCAAGTATAGCATTATAAATAGTCCACAATTGCTGGCGAATAAGCTGCTTTTGTTGGTTCGCATTGAAGCGCAGCCGGAAGGCATACGAATGGAGCGTAGCTTTGAGCTACTGCAGGCCAATCGTCATCCGCAGGGTTTAAATCTCTGCTTGAGTCCCACACAGAACGATTTGTATTATGTGCTCACAGAGGAGGGTTGTTTGTACAAATGCTCAACTCATTATCCGCAACAATATTTAACGGTACTGCAAGTGCAGGAAGCGGGTGCGAATTCCATGGATTTCTCACCATGGTCGCCGAAGCTCTTTTTGACCTGCGGTAATGATTGGTGAGTGATTATTTTAAAGAAAATTAGTTTTGAAAGCAAAAAACTGCTACAAAGCGAATATTAAGGACGATAAAAGTGTTTGACTATAGTTCCATGGGTTTCCTGGTAGCGAACGTCATGCCCTCAAACGCTCGACTGTATTTTGGCTATTAATTTGCCTCAGATTGGTTTTCAAAATTAAATATTTTGTTCTCAACTGCTTTTTATACCAGATATTTCCAGTAGACCCCAGTGTGATTTCTATAAATATATCTGCAGGTCCATAAATATTTGGTTAGATGGCATTTTCCATCCGATAATTACACTGAAGCATCATGAGGGCCCCATACACTGCGCCTACTGGAGTCGCACACATTCCACAATAATTATTTCATTGTGCCGAAACTCGGTGGATATTTGGGATATCAAACAAAGCGTCTTGAAGCCGATGTCATCGACTAGCATAAATAGTACGCATTATACGAGTTGCAGGTGAGCGAATACTCCAAAAAGGAGATTTCACGTGGCTTTCACGAACTTTAAATTTTTTTACCTATAATTTTCTACAGATTATCACTTTGCGGTCGCTCGTTAGCAGTTGGCAACGAGGCTGGTAATGTTTTAATGATCGCCTTCGAAGACATGCCATTTCCAGCCTACTATCAATATGATCAATTGGAGAAAGCAATCTACAATCTGATTTCCAATGATAAGGAAATGACGCATAAGGTAAAAAGCCTCAGCTTCTTTGGTTATGCAGAGCATGTTAGATATCAGCCGAAGAAACGTCGTAAAAGGCGTAAGAAAGTACAAAAGGATATGTCACAAATTTAAGTGTTTAAAATTAATTTTGACACATGACATATTTTTTAAATATACTTAGGCATCAAGTTGAAATGACATACATCAAAATATAAACAAAAAATAAAGTACTTTTTTTCAATGTTTTTCATGCGCTGAAGAGAGTCAATTATGTTTTCCACATGTTTGTACTACATAAAAGGAGTCGTCGGTGACCCTACAAATATAAATATAGAACATGGTGAGCTGAGTCGATTTAGCCATAACCGTCGGTCTGTTTGTATATACGCTAACTAGTCCCTTAGTACTTGAGATATCGATCTGAAATTTTGCCATGTCCTTTTATTCTCAAGAAGCTGTTCGTTTGTCAGAACCGCCGATATCAGATCAATATAGGATATAGCTGCCGTCCAAACTGACCAATCAATATGAATTTGTTGTATATAGAATTTTTATTTGACATGATATCTTCACGAAATTTAATATGGATTATTGTCCAAGGTAAGGCTACAATTTTCAAACAGTTTACTCAGGTTGCATCACTAAAGATTATAGCAGCCATACAAATTGAGCGATCAAAATCAAGCTAAAGATCTTTTTTATATCTTTTTAAATTATAATAAATGCACCTGGGAAGGGTAACCTTTTTTCTTTTTTTTTTAACCATGTTGACAAATGTTATATTTAATAAAAATATTTACTTAATAAAGGTAAGTTAATTGGATTTTTGGCACATAATATTATTTAAAAATAATTTTGCACTTTAAAAAAAGGATAAAAAAATATAAAATATTTAAGAAAAAAATAATTATTTAATAATTTTAATTATGTACATACACTGTTTTTGGTAAAAACATAGTTGCAGCAATAAAATATATTTTTAAATTTTTTTATTAAAATCGCTGTTTTCACCATTACTTAATTTTATTTTTAAATATCTTGGAAGTCACTCAAAAGTTTGAACCTCTAAAATAAATCCCCTAATGTATGACCGTCGCACTTTCCACTCGGTTTTTGTTTTGATTCCAAAGCTTGATTTTATTTTTAAAGCCTTGATTTTATGTAAACACAAGCGCTTTCATTGACAAGTACAAATAATATTATATTAAGTTTAACGGCACTTGCGAGTACAAGTAAATTTATTCAGCGATAACTACGATTTTTAAGTGATTTTTTATGCACGAAATTTCGACATGGCCATTTTGTTGGCTTGATTAAGGCTTTTAGGGCACTCGTTTACGCGTCAGCCTGTTCTTGTGTTTTATTGTTGCCATTTTTATAGAGTTCTCACTAAGCCTTATCACACTGCGACGACGCGAAGGTTTGCATTTTAAAACATAAATACATACATATGCGTATATATTTTCCAACTTTTAGAACACAATTTTCTTATTCAAAATTCACTTTTGAAAATCCACTACTTCAACACCCACTAACACGTCAACCATAGAACTGTGCGCACAACTGCAGCAACTTTATTGTAATAGAAGTCTTCAGAACTGCAACAATTACTCACATTTACGAAAATAAACAATAATAGATACTCAAGTGTGTCTAATTCATCTCGATTTGTTTATGTCTGGCACAGCTGATGCTGCGGTTTGGCATTCCATATCGCTCAAGTTCAAACAATTACCTTATTTGCGGTTTACTAACGATTTTTGAGGCGCGCTTTACGCATAGCTGTAGAAACATAACGTTACTTGTAATTCATAAATTCTTACTGCTGGCAGTTGCATTTGTGCATTAAATTCATTAAAATGACACAAACGCATTTCGTATTGCCGCTTTTGATGCCCGAAAGGCAGTTGGTGCGCACCTTTCCAGCGCCCTACAACGAGGCTGTTTCGCCCTTTGCCGAGGTGAAGGATTTTTCCAAAGCCGTGCGCTTCGAGTCGCAATGGCAGCCGAAATTGAAGTTGCGACCACGCAAAGTCATACTCATCGGCGATGTGGCAGTGGGCAAGACGACATTGGTGAACAGGTAGGTGAGCTGGAATTCTGATGTCGGCATTTTTTGTTAACTAATTAGATGTGCGCTTCTAGATTTTGCTTCGATAAATTTGCGGAGAAATACAAGGCGACTATTGGCGTGGATTTCGAAATTGAAAATTTCAATATTTTGGGACAGGGTCTTACGCTCGAAATGTAAGTATATTACAAATATTTTTTAGTTTTTCAATTATTATAATTATGCTTGCCTAAAGTCTTGTCCTTATTTCATTCTAATTCTTTTCCACAATATTCTCAGGTGGGACACTGCCGGCCAAGAGCGCTTTAAATGCATAGCACAAGCTTATTATCGAAATGCGAATGGTAAATAATTTATTTAAAACATATTAATTAGAGAGTAAACATTACATTTAAAACATTTCCATTACAGTTATTATTGTCGTTTTTGATATGTCCAAACCGGAAACGCTGAATTCAGCAACCAAATGGCTCAAAAGCGCTCTAGCAGTTAATACAATACAAATGCCGCTGACATTTTTGGTTGGCACCAAGTCGGATAAGTTGGTAAGTGCACAAATAAAAAAAAAATAAAAAATATTTGAAATTAAAAAAATAACCTCAAAGTTCAACAAAAAAAATATTATAATAACTTACAATAATTATTTTCCACAAAATATTAATTCTCAACACTTCTGATTTTTTATGTGAACATATTTGTTTTTGTAAACTTCTACTTCATTGAAACTGCATATTTAAAAAAAATTTCAAAATTCAAAAAAAAAACCTTCAAATTATAGTAATTTACAAAAAAATATTACCCCTCAACATTCTCAATTTTTTATGTAAAAACATCTGTTTGTATCAGCTTTTTTAAAATTAAAATCGGTATTTTATTTTTGTTCAAACTCCTCAGAACAGAGAAGAATTCGTGCGCGTGGAGCGTTTGGCAGCAGAAATCGCTGACGGCATCAAGGCGGAATATTGGTCAGTTTCTGCGCGAACCGGCTATAAAGTAGTCGACTTCTTTCAACGTGTAGCAGCGCTATCCTATGAGACCGCATGCAAAGAAGCGATAATTGAGCGTCATTTTATGGAAAAATCCGTTGCGGTGCGATTACAGCGGAAGTCAAAACCATGCGGTTAGTAACATGAATGCCAAATTTATAAAAATCTCAAAAAAGTGTTAGATTCTTAGAACTAATGCTAATAGTTTTTAAAACTCAGTGCATATTATATTAGGTCAACCTAATATAATTATATTTATGTATATCTCTTTGCAGATTTTCGTAACAATCAAGCAGGCAGCAGAGGAACAAAGGCTAAGGAAAGGAGTTTATGCTTTTGTTCATAATTTCTACGTATTTTCAGTTAAAAATTTATGATAAAATCTGCAAATATTAAACGATATAAATAATTTATGCTTACTTACTTCTTTAAACGGCAGCTGGAATAATTTGAAATTTGCTAGGGGACAATTCATTGATAAAAAAATTCACACACACCAAAAGCATCCATTTAAATTTGGCAATTGTAAATTGTTGCGAACTTACTGTCCTATATTGAAGCGCTTCACAACTAATAATCTAATATACTCGTATGTAGAACAGGAAAAAGCTAACTTGCTCTTTCAGCTTCACTTATAAACAATATTTAGCAATTGCAATAACACTTTTAATTAGAAAAAATTTTGCGACAAATATGGTATGCTGCTGTGCTCAAAAGCTTCGCTTGCAGCTACTTATGCATCACGATTTATACTTCCAGGTACTCACTAGATAACCAAACACTCACTATCACAAAGCACACAAAAACAATAGTTTTAAACGTTTTAATTTTCTTAAATTCACTGATTTTAAATATAGCTGCGCAAAGTCTACCTTCGATTAGCTATTTCCTGTTTTTAGATTTAACAACTACCGCAGAGTTGCATTTCCGAATTTCGAAGGTAGCCTACAGTCTTTGTCGAAAAGGGAAACTCACCGGTCATAGATTTTGGATATAAAATTAAAAAAGTATATGAAGAATTAAAAAAGAAATAATTCAGTAAATATTTTAATTTATCTCAAGCACATTTTGTTATAAACACTATGTACTATAGAATTAATTAATAATACTGTTAATAATTGACAATATTTTTCCAATATTATAATGTTGCTCAAATTTTGCTTATCACAAAGTTGTTGTTTACCAATAATAATTAAAATAAAAGTTATTACTTTACTAAACTTGCTATTTACTTCCGGCAAACAATACTTTCGACACAGTGTTGTATTATATTTAGCAAAACCACCTCGAACTTTCGAGACATGCCCAAAAATTTGACGTTTGGTGACATTAGGCTTCGAAATTCGAATATGGGAACTTCCGCCGTTTTGACAAAGACAGAAGATTTTCCTTTCCATTCCTTTTTTTCGTAGTAATGGCACCCAAAAAGCCTGCCGAGAAATCCGGTAAGGAAATTTTTAACATATTAATGCAATTTATGCACCAAAAGTGTTTCAAAATGTGTCTTAAACAACAATATATTGATTATAAATGAATTTAAGTAGTTTTTCTACAGAATTGTGTACAAATTTGTTTTAAAATGTTGAGTGTGTTTGGCCACGCGGTCCATGTTGCAGTATCAGCTAAATGTGTTAAATCAACGTTTAAAATAAATTTGCTGCATTCGTGTATTGATGTACTAAAAGCAATATCATGTTCAAATGATGAATTTCGTGTATATAATTTTTCAACAATTGTTCGCCAATTAGAAATTGATTTTTTTGTTTATCAATCAATTGTTTAAGACATAACCTCATTTTCGGATATGTATTGTCAGTGTTCTATTTACCATATTGCTTAATTGGATATTAATGGTTTTATAGCTAAACCAGGTGATAAGAAGCCTGAGAAGAAGGCTTCGGCCACTTCAGCCGCTTCTGGAGACAGCGCTAAACCTGCTGCAGCTAAGAAGGCCGCCCCCGCCAAGAAACCCGCTACCGCAGCTGGTGGTGTAAAGAAGCCAGTTTCTAAAAAGCCTGCCGCTGCCAAAAAAGTTGCCACCAAAACTAAGCCAAAGGCTAAGGATGCTAAGAAGGCTGCCGCTGGCAAGAAGCCACAATCTTTGTTGGCTAAATTATCCGCAAAGGCCCGTGCCGCCGCTAAAGGCAAAAAAGTTGCTCTTAAACCAGGCGCAAAATTGCAAAAGGGTACCGCTAAGGCTAAGGCTGTTGCTTTGTTGAAAGCTAAGAAAGTGCAAACTAAGGTAAAAACTTATTGAAACATATTCGTTGATTTATAACTAATATATATATATATAAATATTTACAGATTGTCAAGGGTGCCTTTGGTACACGCACACGCAAGGTACGCACCAGTGTACACTTCCGTCGTCCAAAGACTTTGGTGTTGCCCCGCCGTCCTAAATACCCAAGGAAGTCGGTGCCAACCAGAAATCGGTATGTAAAAAATTAAAAATATGCCAACAAGATCTAATTTGGCAATGTATTATTTGAACAGCATGGATGCTTACAATATCATTAAATACCCATTGACCACTGAAGCCGCCATGAAGAAGATTGAAGACAACAACACACTGGTGTTCTTGACTCACTTGCGTGCGAATAAGAATCACGTACGTGCCGCTGTACGTAAATTGTATGACATTAAGGTAGCCAAGGTCAACATCCTGGTGAGACCAGATGGTCAGAAGAAGGCGTACGTGCGATTGGCTCGTGATTATGATGCGCTAGATATTGCCAACAAGATCGGCATCATATAAACGTTACGCGTTATTCGTTTCTTTTATATATAGAAATTTTCAGAGAAAACAGACATTAAAAAACGGATAAAACTTAATTTTATCTAAAATAAAAAAACAAAAAAAAAAATGCATTTCCTTCTAATAACTTCGCTACTTTTGAATTACGACGGACAAAAATTTAAGACGGTACTTTATAATGACTGGCTAGCTTAGCTTATTGGTAGGAGGGAAGGTTTTTTTCTTGCTTTCATTTCAGATAGTAATTTCAAGTTAATGGCTTTCTTACTGGATTGGCTGATTATTTACATAAAGGTAAGTGGAAATTTCGACTTAATATTTCAAATGTCTTTTATTTGTGATGACTTTTTTGAAGGAATCTCATTGAATAACTTCGTTATTATGCAAAAAAATTAATTAAACTGATAAGTTTTTACATCTGAACAATTTTCTTGACAAAATTTATTTGTAAACCATGCACATATTTATTACTTACAGATCATTTCAAATTGGAAGTACAGGATTTTGAATTGGAAGCAAAATTAAAGGTAATAACAACGTAAAGCTTTATACCTATTAATATTTTCATAGTGATGACATATTAAGAAGGAATCTCGTTGAATTTCGTAATGCGTTATTATGAAAACAATTTTAAATAACTGATCATATTTTAGTGCTAAATAAACCTTTCTTGTTGACACATTAAAATTAATGTTTGTAATCTTGTCGTTACAGAATTTCAATAAAACATGGGAGAAAGTTCCAGAACGCGAAAGGTAATTTATAAAAAAAATATAGTAATTATAAATTGTGATGATATTTTTTGAAGGAATCTCATTGAATTCCGTATAACGTTTTAGTGAAATCAAATTAAATAACATAATTTGACTAATTATTATATTATAACTCATAATGCTTGCTAATGAAAAGTTTTCTATGTTTCAGGTATATCTAAAGGAATTATGCGCTTTCCCTGAAAACCGTTCTATATTTCTATTTAGTATAAAATATGTATTTATGAAAACAAATTTTAAATAAAGAATGAAACTTATAAAAATCGTTAGTTGCATTAATATTTTAACGTTTTGTAAAACATATCACAGTATGATTGGGTAAAAATCAAGAATTTCTACAGTTTGAATAGAAATTGGAAGACATCTGCTTTATTTACGGAGTGTTGCAGAATTGAAGGTCCTGAACCAGATAACAACCAGGATCCATTTCTATTACGTAGATCCAAATTGTGTAAAGGACAGTACTTTAAATTGTTGTATGCAAAAGTATTCATATTTTGAATATTTAAAATTGAAATACAGAAATATGTTCTCTAACATGTAAGTTTCTGTAAGCTACAATTACAACAGCAAAAAATTCGTCGAAAAATAAAAAAGGGGAAACATCGAAGAGAGGTGTAATTGCAATGAACGACTCACTCGTGGTGTATATTGATAAAATATAAAATTTAGTTGAAAATATATATTTCTACATAACCATGAATATCCCAGAAATATATTTTAAAAAAAAAACCATTGAGATAATATGAACTTATTTAAAGAAAATATAATTTTAAAACCAATGAGTTTTATTTATATTACACAGTTATCCTAATGCTTTTCCTAGGCTTGGCAGCACTGTTCGATTAATGTCATGGCGGCTATATACCTGGCTGTCAAACAGAAAAACTTATTGAACGCGATTATCGCTAAATTTGCAAAATTAATCTGAATTTTTGCAACGTGAAGTTTATATACTATCTTTGTAATTCCTCTAATATTTAAGAGAAATAGTGTGGACTACTTGCATACAAAGAGTTATATATAAGGAAAATTTGACCATGCAGTGATTTACCAGTTCAATCGATTGTTTCAGCCAATCACACCTCCCGACAAACAACCGTGCAACTTAATACGGTAGGGTAGGTTGGAGTTATTTCAGGACAAGCAAAATCGAAGTATTTTGCTGTAGCGACGTTGTCGCAAATAAATATACTTTATTGAATTTGCATCCACTGTTTACAAAAAAAAACAGAAATGTACAACGGAATTGGTTTAACAACGCCACGCGGCTCAGGTACTAATGGACATGTACAACGGAATTGGGCATTTGTGAGGCCCGGCAAAAAAGACAATTCAAACTATCGTTCTGAAGAAGATATTAAGAAGCTAGATGCCACTTTAAATCGTCCACCGAACAAGGAAATATTGGATCATGATCGTAAACGTAAAATTGAAGTAAAATGTATAGAGTTTGAGGAAATACTAGAAAAACAAGGGTGAGTTATAAATAAATGTACAATTATGAATATACTGTTTTAGTTTAGCACATTTTTTTTTATGCCTCAATAAGTTACACCTAATAGCTTTTATATACAAAATCATGCAAACAGGAGTTATTTACATATATTTAATATATTTTTATGCTCTCCACCCAAGCTAAGTCATGTAGTTGTTTTTGTATGGTTTACTTTACCCGCTCTCGGCCAACAGCTACATATATGCAGTATCACTGACATGGTTCGGTACTGTTGGACTACATATATTTTTTTTAGTCAAATGGGGGTGGCAAGTGAACAATAATGATGGTTTTTCGCCTGTTTCATACATAATTGTCACGCTTGCTGAGCGAACAAGGTGAAAACCGCTAGTTTGTGCATTCAATCCGCTTAGAAGTATTAAACCCATACAAATCAAATAATTGCAATTGAGTTGAAAAAAGCGTTATTAAATTACAAAATAAAAAAACAAGTGTACGTGAAAATTTAGTATTTCTAAATACACAAAAAATAATTTCCAAATTGAAAGCGTTTTCATTAGCTGACAAAATTGAGCAAGTAGGATACTCGGTAAATTTATCGATCTTTCACAAATTTCTATTTGTAGCTTTTAACTATTTTTTATATTTTAGTAGAAGTTTTACTATATGTTAATTATTAAAAATGTTATTAATTCTTATTATTTTTCTACAAAAAAAAAAATTGTATAGGCGCACACCGGAGGAAATAAAAACAAAAGTTGATTCGTATCGTCAAAAATTAATGGGACTAGGTAAAAGTGATTTACCAAAGGATGAATTTGGAAGAATAGCGTAAGTAAATTATCTTATAATAAATATTTAGAATGTTCATACAATATAAATATTGGTGAAATTTGTAAAAACATAAAATTTGTAAATATAAGTAAAGCAAAAATAAGTTAAGAGCCAGTCTCAAATATTATGTTAATAAAATAATTGCTAATGCTAGCTATAGTTTGGTTTGGAAGATAACGTTTCGACTCCGTGTATTACATAATTCTGAAATGCATTATTCCCAGAATTTGTATCACAAGTAAATTACATCCCCTACAGCTTCTGGCTTAGAAATATAAAGATGGAGCAAATTTATAGAGAGATTTGCTCTCAATTTCATATCATTCGTGTATTTACCCACCACCACACTGGATGGGGGCTGCAATTTTTCAGTACAAGTCATCTATACAGATTGCATGAAAGTTTAGTTAAATCAAGTCTTCCAATTGCGATACAACTCAAACGTCGGGCAAATGCTATTAAGCCCTTTTAAAGAACAGTATTAAAAAAACTAAAGTTAAAATAAAATAAAAAATAATTATAACTATATAAATACTTATCGAATGGCTTTTAATATAATCTATTAATAATACCGGTTAATGCACAAAATACGCAAATCAAAACAACGATCGGCGTACAGTTTTCGAATTTTGAGAAAAATCAATAATCAACGCAATAGAATATGCAATTCAAGCATAAAACGCTACTCTAACAAAAATAATATTTTAAAAAATTAATTGTACGGGCGGCGGTGGCGAAACATCGAAATAAAAATTGTATTTAAAATTTTCTTAAAAAACATTACAACTACTTACTTATACAAAATTTTGTTTGGCAACCCCCCCACTCAACTTAAGGCGGTGTGCTTGCTCAAGCGGACCATTTACTACGATAAACCCATAGCAATGAATGTTTTTGGAAGTATGTGCTGGTGCTGCATTATAGGAAATAAATGTGGTTCTTCTTATGCTAAGTGGATTAGCGGATTAACATGAGTTCGAATGAAGTAACATGTGGTTTGAAAGTAGAGAATGAATTGAAATCGAAAGAAACGATTTCAAAATGCGTAAAACTTCGTAGCAAAGCAACAAATCACTCAACATAGAGTCTTCCATTTAGTATTTAAGTTAATTAGTTGTAAAACAAATGGCAACGGAGTTGGAATGTTGAAAGTTTAAGAAGTAAATTTTATAAAATTAAAAGAATATTGGAATGTGAATCTAAATGGCGATATATGCAATATTTAAGCGAATATAAACAAATAATGTAAAAGTGCTTTGTGATTTAATGAAGTTTTAATTCATGTAAAATCATTGCAAGTTTTATTCCATATGGGAGAACTCTTAAATAAATACAGAAATAAATGCATAATCAATTGTCTTCCGAAATTAGTGAATAATTAATAACTTTGATAAATTATATAAGAGTGTTTCTCAAGACAAATTTATAGCCAGTAAAAAATCCAACGTCTTCCATGACAATATTTAACTAGTATGTAATATTAAAAAATACATGTATGAAAAATTATAAAAATATAAATATATTCTTTAACATAATAAAAGTACATGGTCTTCCTGCACGTTTGTATGCATATTGAGAATTAAAGTAGATATAGCAAGTGTTTATATTTAAGCATATTATATTGATATACATATGTATATAAAATTATGTCTTCCAACTGATTTGTATATTGCATAAAGTTACGAATTAAAGCGAAATATATTGAAGAAAAAAGAAAAAATAAAAATCCAATGTCCTCCATGAATACTCTTAATTGATAAATACATATATATTTTGATACAGTTAATATTATTATAATATAATAAACTAATTAAGAAACAAATTAACGAAAATTTTAAAAATATACACAAACACGATATAAACATTTGTAATAATTTTAAAAACACATAAATACACACTATGCTCTCGTCAACCATATACGCGGCGCCTGCTTCCGACGAGCTAACTGCAGATGTGACTTTCATAATGCCAAAACCAACGAAAAAGAGGCGAAAGCGTAGAAAGCGTTGCGCCACCACAGTACCAACTATTTCTTCCACGACGTCCACGTCCATAACAAGAGCAACCGATAATACACTCTCCGTAGCCACAGTTTCCAGCAGCACCAGCCCCTGCAAGAGCATAGCAACGCGTCGCCGTGCTACCAACAAAGTGCGACGTTACTTCCAACATGACACACGTGAAATTGTCAAAACGATAACAGAGAGTGAACTGAATTATGCCGCCGTAGCGAAAAAATTCAAACCACTTACAATTGCAACGAATAATAAAAATCAAACACAAAAACAAAAACCAAAGCGAAATACCACAAAACAATCGTGGCATAAACAACAATTGAAAACTACGAAATGTCAAGCGCAAAAGCCAAAAATGCTCTCAAAATCTATGGTAAAATCCTCTCCACATTTTTGTTCAACAACAACAACAGCCAAATCAACGCACTCGTTTTGCAAATGCGCATGTGCTTTTGCCACCGCCGCCACTTCTCATGCGAAATATAAACAACAAAAAAGCAACAATTGTAACAGCATGACATTCGATAACAAAACCAATGTGAGGGAACAACAACAAGCTGCAGTAGTT